GGATACAGGGACTGTGTGTTGGCTACGGCAGATAAAGTATGTGGATGGACGAAAGGAAAGTGTAGGCATGGTGGTGGGATGAAGATATAAGAAGGGTTTTGGAGGTCAAGAAGGAGAGGTTTAGGGTATGGAGAAGGGACATGACGGAGGAAGCGGAGTTTGAATATAGGAAGACTAAGAAGGTTGCAAAACAGGCAGTGGCAACTGCAATGACGAAAGCATCAGATAGGTTAATGAGGGAAATGGAATTTTATGTGAGTTCGAGGAAAATGTTCAAAGTAGCAAAGCAGTCAATGAGGGATAAGAAAGATGTTATAGGGAATGGATGTGTTTGGGATGGATCTGGCAAGTTGTGCATAGATGAGGAGGAAAAAGCTCAGGTGTGGAAAGCTCATATGGAAAGGTTGATGAATGAAGAGAATGAGTAGGATGGAGATGTGGAATCCGCGGTCACACACGGACCTATAGAGAAGGTGACGATGGAGGAAGTAGAGAAAGCGGTTAGAGAAATGAAACTAGGTAAGGCGACAGGGGTTTCGGAAGTGGCGGCAAAACATATAAAAGCGAGTGGGGTGATAGGAATTGAAGTTATGATGAGAATCGCTAACAGTATGTTTGATGATGAAGGTATACCTGAGGATTGGCGACACAGTGTGTTGGTGCCGTTGTATAAGGGCAAAGGAGATGTGAGAGATTGTGGGTCATATAGGAGTGTGAAATTGCTAGAGCACGGAATGAAGGTAGTGGAGAGGGTGCTTGAGAGGAGGTTGAGAAATATGGTGACAGTTAATGAAATGCAGTGTGGGTTTATGCCTGGTAGGGGAACGGTGGATGCGTTGTTCATGGTGAGAATGTTGCAGGAGAATTATAGAAAGAAGAAACGAAGATTGTACATGTGTTTTGTGGATCTAGAAAAGGCTTTTGATCGAGTACCGAGGAAGGTCATTGAATGGGCGTTGGGGAAGAAAGGAGTGAATGAGAGACTTGTTAAAGCTGTGATGCAGCTGTATGAAGGGGCAAAGACAAAGGTGAGAGTTGGAAGGGGGATGTCGGACGCTTTTAGTGTTAAGGTAGGAGTGCATCAAGGATCAGTGTTATCACCGTTTCTGTTTGCAATTGTGATGGATGTTGTGTGTGGAAACATAATGGAGGGGTTGTTATTTGAGATTTTGTATGCAGATGATTTAGTCTTGATGGCCGATAGCATGGAAGAATTGCAGTTAAAATTTGACAGATGGAAAAGTGTTATTGAAAAGAAAGGGTTAAAAATTAATATTGGTAAGACGAAGGTAATGGTGAGTGGGGAAGGTGGGGAGCGAGTGATAAGTAAAATAGACCCCTGTGGGGTATGTGACAGGAGAGTGAAGGCTAACTCGGTATTGTGTATAGGATGTCAGAAATGGGTGCATAAGAGATGTAGTGGTGTGAGGGGGGCACTGAAAAAGGTGGAAGGCACGTTCAAATGTAAGAAATGTGTTCATGGTGTGATTAATAGGACGGACGCAAGGACGGGGTTGAGTGGTGGTATTGAAAGAGTGGAAAGCTTTGTTTACTTAGGGGATAAGCTGAACGCGGATGGAGGATGTTTGAGCGCAGTTACGGCTAGAGTTCGTGTAGGATGGATGAAATTTAGGGAACTGGGTGGGGTATTGTGTGGAAAGAAATGGTCAGTGAAGATGAAAGGGAGGGTATATAAAGCATGTGTGAGAGCAGCGATGGTATATGGTGGTGAAACTTGGGTGTTGAGGAGAGAGGAGGAAAGTGTACTGCAGAGGGCTGAAAGAGCTATGGTGAGAATGATGTGTGGGGTTAAAGTGAAGGATAGGAGGAGTAGTACAGAGCTGATGTCAATGATGGGACTGAATGAGGACATTGTGACATTGATAAGGAGATCGAGATTGCGGTGGTCTGGACATGTGTTGAGAAGGGATGAAAGGGTCGGGATTAGGCGAGCGTTGGAGTTCGAGGTTGAAGGAGTGGTAGGAAGGGGTCGTCCGCGATTGGGATGGAGAGAGCAGGTGGAGAAGGACAGGGTGAAAGCGGGGTTGCGTGATACTGAGGCGAGTGACAGATGTGGATGGCGTCGAGGGGTATTTCGGTTTCATCATAGGTAGCCAAACGGCAACTCCCGATCTTGGGGAAAATGTCGTCTAAACGTGTGTTGTTGTTGTTGTTGTATTGTCGTTTGTATTTTCATTGATAAGTTGTTCTTTGTGGTTAATTATTTTCTTTATTTGTGATAGTTTGTATCCATTATTAATTAGGAGATTACCAACCAATGTATATATGTATATATATATATATATATATATATATATATATATATATATATATATGTTGGTAGTAGACCTTAATTTTTACAATATTCTATAAATTCTACCGAATGTTTGGCGTTAATATGTTTGTAGTTCATATAAATATATATAAATATATATATATATTTATATATATGTATTTAGTTGTTACATGTTGTTCGGAAGGAAGTATACTAACATCATCACAATGAACAGATTTTTACCAAAATGTGGTTTGATTATAAAATGGTCTTGAAAAAAAAAGGCAAATGAAGGTTACTGCTGATCAGTAGTAACAATGATGTCGAAGAAGGGCAGCTTTCAACTTTCTTAACTATTATATTATTTGTTTCACTAACTGTTTCCACTATTGACTAGCATATTATTTCAAAATTGTAGCAACAAATTGAGATAATTTTTATAAATAATAAGAAAGTTTAAAAAGAAATTTATGTAAAATCTTATAGCTTTTGTTTGGAGGAATAGTTTATTACTATTAACATCCACATCACTTCACATTCACCACAAATACCATGGAATATCAATTTTAGGACATAAACATGAGGCACAATGAACTTTATTCATTTTGCAGGAACATTTTAATTTCTGCAAGAATCCAGTTGGAGCTGCAGTTGTATTTATAATGTTTGGTTTGCAAGAAATTGTTCACCAGCTTGAAACCATAATTTTCTGGAAAAAGGACTGATTCCAGATGTTGCCATTTAGCACATTAATGGTGGACACATAAGCTGGTCATGAAAATACACTGCCTTGTTTGCTGCTAGCATCTTTTCTGTTAAAGTGTATCAAGATAAAATGCTGTTATGATATCTTAACTCATCCACACTTACTTTTGTTCCGCCAAAATGACACCACAAATAATAAAAATGAGAAAAATGGCACTAAAAATTAATCAAGTTAATTGTTAAATCTGTATAAAGAAATTTAATGAACTTTTCTTCTGCAAACTTATTTTGTGAGTTCAGTGTTTCTAAAAACTAAGATTTCTTTTAGTTGTTGTAATAGCATGAGTTGTTTAAAAACTTTTAAAAACTTTAATCTTAGCTAATGCAAACAAAACAGATGCTGTGTCATTGCACGCATGATATGCAATGTGCAGATGGCGAGTTCCAGCACATTTCTTCATCCAAAACATTTTTGCAGTTTTTATTAGAGGAAGTCTGTTGTTGGGTGTGTGTGCATAAAAATATTTATAATTTGTGTGCATGGTAAATTGGTAAAATTGAAATTTTGGTGTTTGAAGTCTGAAGTTGAGATAATTTGAGCTTAAATTCAATGCTTGCTGCACTGCCATCACATTGCATCATGATCTCACAAGGCTTGAATAACGGACATTCCCATTTCTTATAGTTGTGGATTTATCATATAATTAAGTTTTTTGTTTGTTGTGTCATACCCTTCTTTATTTGTTGGGACAGAAGTTCTATCAGCAGTTACGTCAGCCTGAACAATTTGTTTTTTTGTCTGCTTTTTGTTAGGAATTTTTTTCAGAGCTACTTAATAAAGAATAAAAATAAATAAATATAAATAAATTTATATATATATATATAAACTATATAAACATAAAACTGCATGCAGTTAGATGATTTTGATTCAAGTATATTTTGTTTGAATGTAATGTGCACTGACTGAAAACTTGTTAGGTCAGAGTTTACACGAAGCAAGGAGCATTAAAAGACACGACAGAATGCTCTGCTAACAACGGCTACTACATGATACCCGTCTACAGCAAGGGGGAGTTTGTGCTGAAGGTGGAAGGACCTCGGGGCTGGACGTTCGGTTGGTCGGCTTCTTTTTGATTTGTTTGTTCTAAATTTGATTGTGTTGCTACCAGGAAAACGCCTCTAATTTTTTCATCTGTTTGCATGCACAGAACCAAGCAGCATAGATCTTTCCATTGATGGTGTAACAGATAGATGTTCACTCTCTCAAAATATCAATTTTCAATTCATTGGTTTTGGTGTGTCTGGAAAAGTAAGATTATTATTGAATTTTTCTTTGAATATCTTGTGTATTTTTATAAAATACTTTCAAACCAAATATATTATTTATATAGGACATAAGATAATTTTTTCCTCACCATATAAGGCAGTCCTACTCAGTATCTTCGATTGATTCATTCTTATTTGTTAATTCGAAAGGATTGATTGGATTGTAACTAATTAATTATTTTTATTACATTTGAACAACTTCAAGAAAAATTAATAATTCTATTATTAAGCAAATAATTATTATCTATTGTATTAATAGTTGTCTTATTAGGATATGAATAACTCTTGCTTTTCACGATAAAATTATTTTGTATTATTAAATAATTATCTAAACTATCAATTTAATTTTTTTAATTCAATTCAGAAATAATTATAATTTTATTGAAAAGTTAAAAGAATGTTTATTTAATTGAATGTAGTACATACTTAACATTATTGCAAGATTTTTGTTTACCGCAATAATGAATTAGAAGGTACTAAGTTATTTTTTAATTCAGTCCCTTATAATTTATATATTTATTTTTAAGGTTATCAGTAAGGGTCAAGATATTGGACCCAAAGATGTTAGATTGGTTTTGAAGTCTGAGAGTGGCAAGGTGGTCAGTGAAACAGTGAGTTCTGATGGCGGGGAGTATACATTCAAGAACGTTCTTCCTGGCAGCTATCTCGTCGAAGCTTTTCATCACAAATGGAAATTTGACAATGTAACGCTAACTTTTCGTATTCTTATCATTTCATTTATTTCTCTTTTTTTTATTCTTGTATTTTATTCTTGGGTTAATTTCATTAATGATTGTTGGAAACTAAAATAAGATTGCTAAGCTTGAATGTTAAATAATTTTTTTGGTGATGATTTGGGCTTGTCAATTGACTGGATTGGAGTCAGCAGTTCGAAAGTTAAGTTAAATTAATTGTAATTGATTATTACATTTAGAAAGAATCTTCAGTAACAGTGCAGAAAGAAACAGGAGTCCTCACTGAGCCAATCGTTGTTGCTGGGTTTGATGTTCAGGTTGGAACTTTCACTTTAAAAATATTTGTCTGGGTTCTTGTCAATTTTTGGGAGTTATTTTATTGGTTATCGATTATTGATTCTTCATTTCCTTCAATATACTACATAACGATTATATTTATATTTCTTGTATATATTAGATATAAATTCAGATGACAATTTTTTTATTGATTCCCATAAGTTACGTTTTTTTAATTATTCTTTAGAAAACCAGAATCTGACAGATGCAGAAACTGTTGCAACATGCAAGGCATTAGTATAGATTGATATTGAAAACTAAATAACGGAGTAAGAATGATTAAGCATGAGAAGCATGGAAAATGAAATAATGATTTAAAAAGAAATAAATAAAATAATTAATTATGTGGCTAGTAAGTAATTTAAGTCATCGATAAGGGGGAAGAATGTTTAAATAGTAAAAATGTTTAAGCATAATAAGCATGGAATATTAAACAATTATTTGAGAAAATGAATAAATAAAATTGTTATTACATAATCAAAATCATGTTATATAAAATGCCATCAGGGCTCACTCATAAGTGATGGCGAGCCAGTCTCTGGTGTGAACTTCCTACTATACAAGACCAGCAATGACAAAAACCGTCCAACTGATGCAGATAAGATGGATGGCTGCTCCACCGGCAGCTTACCTCATGGTGTACCGAACTTAGATGGATATCTGTACTTGTGCTACGTCACGTCGGATAGCAAGGGGTTGTTTGAGTTCTCATCTGTCGTCAGTGGAAGATATGTGCTTGTTAGTACCCATTTGATTGCTCCTGCTCTCCCACTCTACCAAATTGTTATAATGTAATATCGTTATAGATACTTTTAATTTTAATAATTCCTTGAGGGTACTAGAGTTAAGAACATGGACATTGATGTTATTTAAAAATAGCATGGACATTGATGTTTGTGTCAATGTTACTCGTTTTCCTGATTACTGGTTCAGGCAGTAGTTAAGTAACTTATGTTCTGCTGCATACAAATTTGCATGCAAAATATTATTCTCTGAAATAAAGAAATTTTTTTCAACGTTAGTGATGAATTATTTTGGAGCAAATAATTTATGTTAGTTTTTTGTTGAATATCTTTTAAATGAAATTTTTAGTACACTTTAATCGAGTTGTTTTTTTTAAGATTTTATTCTACAGCTACAACGAATAAAATTCAAACATGTTTCTAAAACTTTCATGAATTGTCTTTATTTGCACATTTGACAGATGTTCTAAATTTCTGGTTTTTTAAATATTTAGTTGTCAGTAGTTGTGCAATGTTTATTTTTTCTTTTAAATGGCTGCTGAAAGAAAATTAAATGAAATGAAACCAGGTTCCCATGTACAAGAACGACCAGATATCCTACGATGTCTCTCCGAACAGGCTGAACATTGTTGTCAAACAGGATTCACTCATCCTGAAGGTCTGTTATTTTTATTCTGTAAAGTGTTTTTGCTCATCTGTGATGCATCATAACACAAAGAGAAAGTTTTAAAGACTCAAATAAAGCCAAAGCATTAACACTGATCCATTACAAAACATTTTTGGTGTTCAGTTTAAAACCAGAAATTTGAAATATTCTCTCAAAATAACAAATAATATTTTTGATATTGGTTTCTGTAAAAAGCAAAGCTCATTGTTAGGAAGACCAGAGACTCGTTTCTTTTATTTAACTTCTGATGAGGTCTACACTGGAATATAACGCTGGAACAAGGATAGGAATTTTTATACTAATACATTTCTTTTTCAATCTTACAGTTTTTGTGTTTGTGCTTTCTAGAGCTCCCTTACCTGAACGACACACGCCTCTTCCTCCAACTGCAATTTCTTAGCCTCCGCCGCTAACTTTTTTCTTTCCTCTTTTGGTATTTATTCAAAACCAAAAACGAACTCTACATTGCAATTTTAAGATCATCAATTAAATTGGCTAACCTATTCAAATTTTCAACAATAATATTTTTGGCCTGACTGTGTCTTTTTTAGAATTAACCACAATTTTTTCTTCAGTTTCGTGATTAGGTTTCACAATATTGGTGTTTATCTGCGTCAATCTTATAAATTGGCCATGTTTTTAACGCTGTTGCTGAAATGTTGCCAACATGTTGCCATTATTGCTGGTGTGATGTTGGTGTGTTGTTGATGCAATGTTATCAGCATTTTGTTAATGTTTTAATGTTATGAACATGTTGTTCATGTGAGGCTATCAGCATGTTGCTATTGTCGCTGCTTTGTTGTTAATGCTGGTATGCACTAATCAATGCAGGAACCATTCCATGTGGCAGGATTTGAAGTGACAGGATATGTTAGGACAACTGCTGAAGTAACATTTGTTATTTGTTTGTTTGTTTTGTTCGCTCGTTTGCTCGTTCCTTTCATTCATTCATTCATTCATCCTTTCATTCATTCATTATTATTTATTCATTCATTCATTCATCTATGCGTTGTTTATTGGTTTATTTATTTATTTACTGTTTTTATGATTTTTTCAAATACTTTTTTATTTGTTAAATAATATTTTTCAATTGTATAATATTTAAATATTTTATAAAACATCAAATGGCTTGATGCAATGTTTTCATAATAATATTATTAACATTAATAATAATGTTTATCATTATTATAATACTTGACCTAGTTTGTAAGGGAGTGGTAACGACTGCCAATTGGTTGTAGAGGCCGTGTTCTTACTGTTTCAGGATTGCGAGGTCAAAAGCCAACTGGAATGATACATCTTAGGATTTGTAATCTTCATTGAGCTGTCCTGTCTCTATCACTAATAACTGATAGTACGCTTTTGAGTTTATTGAGCGGTTGATTTTGACTTTTGTATTGTTGTCTTCTGAGTCATAAATTTCACCGAGACATTCAAAGTGGCTGCTACCGACATGATGAATGAGATTATTCGTTAGAAGTTGTTCATAGGTCCTATTGTAAAAATTTTCTTTTTCTCCTACTGAATGTTGGACATTTGTCTGTCCGTAAACTTTTTCCGGTTGCATTAAACCAAGTGTTGTTGACAATTATAGCAGCATCATCTGCGAGTTGTAACCATGCTCTTAATTTAAATTGCTGTGGTCTCCATATTTAATCACCTTGTTGGTTTTCAAAATTTCCTATTACTTTCATTAGGGAGTTGAAACGTAGGTTGAGGAGCATTAGATTGACCTTGCAACACTTCAGGCTTGATTGGAATTGAATGAGTAAGTTGTTTCATGATTTTTTAGGCCTTTGGTTCATTTGAGGTTTGGGAGCAAAACATTTGTAAATCGTTCTATGATATGTGATTGTGAAATCATCTATATCATTGCAACCAGGTAGGGATTAGTGTTGCACTTAAAAATAGACAATGACCTCTACTCACTGTTTTAATGTTTTGGGCGAAGTTCAGAAAAGTTGGTTCTATTGTTTGCTAAGTTTGTGACATCGGAAGTGAAGGCGACAATGTCTGGTGGCTCAATAAGGAAGTTTGTTGGTCGACTGATATTGGTGTTGAAGCTGCATCCTCGACTTCATTTGTTGAGTTTTCAGTTATTTGGAGCGTTATGTGCACCGATCCAGTTGCATGTGCTTCGATGATGCTAATTAAGCATTTCTTCAATTTCATCTTTTACAAAATTATTATTGATATCATTTGAGTAATTAATTATCAGCTGAATTCAAATTGTAAATATAGGATGAAATTTTTACTTTTAAACGGATGTTTTTGTATATGTATATTTTGCCTATTTTGTTCAACTGGCAGTTCTCATGTATAATTTTTTGTGTAAATTAGTTTTTAATTTTGTTAATAATAATAATAACGCTAGCAACTGTACGAAGTGCATTATAGATAACTTATTTATTTTTATTATGATTTTTATAATATTAATTTACATAAAATATTTTCAGGGTTCAGGTGTATCTGGCGCTCTTGTATTTGTGAACAATGTGCAGAAAGCAACAACAAGAGAGGACGGCTTCTTTCATCTGGGCTCAATGAAGACAGGAACCTATGAGATGAAAGTTTTGAAAGATCGATTAGAATTCGATGTTGTTAAGGTCAAGGTTACACCAAGTTCACCCTTCTTACCTGACTTCATTGTTTCCAAGTTTGTGCTCTCTTGTGGTTTTTTTTACTGAATTGAGTTGTGTGATATGTGACTGTGGCACAAACGCTAGTGAACATGAATGAACGAACACGAATGAACATGAACTTGATGATTTCGTACAAATTAAATAAAAATGGTTGGGAATGACTCTGGTTTTCATTCTCTACTATTTTATTCAGCAAAGTGTTTTTGTACCAAGATATCGTTTATCATTTAAGCGATATTTTCCCATAACGCTGCAATTACTTATATGTTGTAACAGACTGCATACAACACAGTTGATTTTTCAGAAAATAATAGAAAAATATTTCAATTTCATGCACATCTTAACTACACATCAGCACATTAGTAACATTTTCTTCCTACATCAGTTTAACTTTGCTCCTATTAAACTTAATAAATTTATTCTATTTATCAATATGTATGTTATTTATTATTGTATTAATTATTTTCTTGTATTTTACATGTATTTTATATGCATACACAGTACACACACACACACACACACACACACACACACAGGTTTCAGTTATGTGGCAAGATATTGTTGGATGAAACTCATGGTTCATCTGCCGTTCACAAGAAATCTCGCATGGTTGAGTACAGAAGGATGGATACATCCATCTATCTTACCACCCAGTCATCAACCAATGATGGTCTTTTCTGCGGATATGTTCAACCTGGCTCATATAAGATCTCTGTATGTCATGGTTGGCTTAAGTGTAAATATGTGGGTGCCATCTTCAGAGCCTTAAATTTCTGCAACCTATATTATGAGAGTAGAAATTTAAATTAAATTAGGAAATATACTATAAATAAAACTAAGGCAAGTTAAAATAAAATGAAGAATATTAAATAAATTATTATAATTTACACGAGTTATTATAATTATAACCTTTTTATAAGTAATAATTAATTAGTGCAATAGTATACTATTTATGAAAAAGGTTAGGGTTAGTTTTATATAGAGATATTCAGTCAGAATATTTTTTAATATTTTAAATGGTCAGTATTCTACAGAAAAAGTTTCAACTTGTATTTAGTTCAAAGGGGTGCCAGATTGGATAGTGTGACGTTTTTTGTGCTTCATGACTCTCTTTGTTTGTTTATTTGCTTGCTTGTTTGTTTGTTTGTTCTGCCAAAATGGAAAAAACAAATAAGATAATATGAAATTGTAGATGCCCTGCTTATTTTCAGAAATATTCTCTGCATGATTAAAATATTGAAATTTAATCATGCATATTTAAGATGAACCGTTTTTGAAATGATTGATGTTCAACTTCAGGTTCGAATAAATGATGATGAGAGATATGAAGGATTCAGGTTGATGCCCTTGCAGCATGTAGTAACAGTAACAAGTGAAGTTGTTGACGGAGTGACTTTCTCTCAGTTCTATGCAAAAGTATCTGGAATTGTTCAGTGTTTGGGTGAGTTAATTTGATATACTGTTGAATGCATTTATAAACAATGTTAGCATATTTACTATGCTTATATTAACCACAAACGTTGTTTTTTATTTTCCTTTCTTATTACTTTATTTGTGAATTTTAAATCGATTTCTGATAACTTCTCACATCAGTCCCATCAAGTGGAATGAAATTTGGTGTACTTGGGCATTTTTTAATGACAATGAATGAATGAATTAATAAACTTAATTTTATTAATAATTTAATTAATGAATTAAATTGTTTATAAATGCTCTGGCAAATAAATTTTGAATATTTACATTTACAATAAATGAGGCAAGTAAATGTGCAGAAGGAACCTCACTTGTTTGTACTGTATTATATTAACATTGCTTGTTATTTATAACAATTTGTGAACGCTTTCGCTATTTCATTAAAAATTTATTTATTCTCTTTTTATTAATTCAACTTTTTATGCAATATTTTGTTAGAACCATGTGGAACGCTGTTCTTAACGTTAGCAAGTGCCGTGAAGTCTGATGACTATAAGCAGATTGATGTGAGATATATATCTTCGTTCAATTATTTTTTTCTGACATTCAATTCATAAATCTCTTCTATTCACTAGCTTTTTTTAAATAAACCGATTGCTACTTGAAAGTTTTTCATTTAAATGCAAATTTCAGAATGATATTTCTAAATATAAAAGGTAACTGGTGATGATGGTCAGAGAGAGGTTGCATTCACGTTTGAAGGGGTCATGGCTGGAACATATGAACGTTAGTCTCATAGTCTCAGTCATCCATACATACATATATATATATATATATATATATATATATATATATATATATATATATATGTGTGTGTGTGTGTGTGTGTGTGTGTGTGTATAATATACACTGTATATATATATATGTGTATATATATATATATATGTATATATATATATCAATCAATCTTCGTTTAGCGTCCAGAGACCCGGTTTCCCGAGGTAGGACGTTGTTTTCTTTGCCATCAACTTTTTGCGCCAGATTAGACGATCAGTTGTATCCATTTCATTTAAATTTAGAGCTTTCATGCCTTGCTCGATTGTTTGCGACCAGGACTTCTTTGAAGGGACTTTGGGACGTGTGCCAGGTACTTCAACATCTGCAAGAGAAGTTATGGCACTGTTTCCACTTCGTTTGACATGACCAAACCACCGCAGACGGTGTTGCCGGCATTCATTCTTTATATCATCTAAACCAGCACGACGCAGGAGTTCGGTAGATTTGATGTGGTCCTTCAGACTAATTCGTTGCATCCATCAGAGCATTTTCATGTCGGTTCGTTGAAGTTGTTGTTCCAGTTTGGCTGTCATTGGCCATGTTTCTGCATCATAGAACAAGACCGGACTTATCACAGATTTATAAAGTCTTGATTGTAGTGGTAGTCAGGCCGCATCAATATAGAAGCAAGGAGATGCCATTTATTCCAGGCTGCACGTATGCATGCTCGAACGGCAGCTTCAGCTGTTCCAGTACAATCTAGAATATCCCCTAGATATTGAAACGATGTGACTTTCTCTACCTTAATGGATTCAAAAACAGTGCTATTTCGAATTTGTTTTTATTTGATGTTCATTCATTTCCTTTCGTTGTAATTATATAATTAGCCTAACCTTTTTCTGTAATCATGGGCATGACATATATGGTAAGGCTGCAGGTAACAGCTAAAGTGGTAGCAAAAATGTTGAAGACAACAAGTGATTGGAAATTTGAGAGACTGACTGATTTGTTCAAAACAGTAATTTTGAAAAAAAAATCCCAAAAGATTTTAAACTTTAATATGTACTCTTACATAAAATCGTTTTTTACAACCTTTTTTATGTATCTAACTTGCTGCACCAAACATTAGTGACGATTCAGAATGAAAAGTGGTGCTGGCTGCAGAAGGCACTGAAAGTGAACATCATTGATAAGAACGTGAGCGATTTGAAGGTGGTTCATTCTGGATACTTGGTCGTCACCAGTCTCTCCCATCAGGCTAAAGTGGTCAGTTTCCATTTATCTTCATGGGTTCTGTTGATTTTAAGGTTGTATTGCGCGTATTCACAAATGGTTTTCATGGTTGTGCGTGTAAGTGTGTGTGTGTGATGTTTGTCAATGAATGTGTGAGTGTGTGTGGGTATGTGCATGCATCATCTTTTCGTCATTGCGTAGTTTTTTAAATAAATTTTTAGTTTACAATTAATTAGTGTCTTATTGGCATATTTTTAATAATAACATTTCTGTGTTCGAATTTGATCAAATAGTTACACCTTTATTGAAATTAAAATTAGTATATTAAAAATAGATTTTCAGGAAAAGTTCAAGGTCAGAAAACCCTCTACCCACCTCGTCATCTCATGCATCGGCACCACTTTCATTTGAAGTAAGTCCTGGTTTGAATAAATTTTGTCTGAAGGAAGCAGGGGAATACGAAGTGAACGTGGAATCCTGTCATCAGTTTGAACCAGATGTCTATCGATTTGACACGTTAGTTTAGTTGCTGTCGGGTTTGAAGAATTTTTTTGCAACTCGTTTGAGTCTCATGGTAATATGATGAATGTTGTATTTTTGTATGTCATGGTGATATAATGGATTTTGTATGTTTGTGTGTTTACATACACACAGATCGGTTGGAGGTGTGTTGTTGTTGACTGCGACAAGGCACCCTATTGAAATATCCTTAACAACCAAACAAAAAGCTGATCAAATATATGCCAGTATCAAGTTCGTTTTTTCATCAAGTTTTTCTCAGATTATTTCAATAATGATTTGAATAAGTTGAAATCATTTTCCACATTGCCAGTTTTGTTGGTGGTCGTGAACGTGGAAACAGTATTTTTCATGTAGAATATTGAATAATGTGTATGGATAATATAGTTGGACTTATTTTTTTTCTGTTAATCCATAATTCAGAAAAATGGGAAGCAACAAGAACGATGAAGTTATTGGTGAGGTACTCCAGGTTGGTCCACTGCTTCTCAGCAGCTCAGATGCCAAACTAACTACATTTGAATACCAGCTGACTTACTGGGCCAGGTTTTGTGGCTTTTAGAAATTTCTTGCTGGTTGGATTGATGGTGATTGGGTGAATGTTGAAAAACTGTAATCATTTAGATTGTTTTTGTTTCTGAGGTATACCCGATTAACTTTTATCTTTCTGCGGCCCTAATATATGTGAGTGAGTGTGTGAGAGTTTGAAGTGTGTGTACGTGTGTGCGTGCGTGTATGTGTTTCATGTTTGTCACCTAAGATCTAATTGTAAAACGCCTTTTTTGCTGAGGGCTGTGTGGATGGATGTCTTGAACTCATTTTACGAATAGTTCATTTTAGCAACTCTTACATAACTTTTGAGCATAAAATTCCATATGCCCGGTTCTGGTTTTATTTAAAGCGACAGTGTCTATATTGAACTTGACAACTTGGTAATATGGCCGCTTGAAATGTGTCGAATAATATCTTTCGTTCTATGTTGTCTTTAAGGCTTTTTCTTAATATTATACTAACATTTAGTATACTAACATTACCGTGCAAACTTAACCATATAACAGATCAGAAGAGAGGCTTTCTATATCACTTCAGTCTGAAGTTCTGCTGTTTGATCCTCAGGTTGTTCAGCTCAATGTAGCTTCAGGTTGCTTGTTGCTAACTGATGTGTTTTTTTTTATTTAGGAACTTATTAACAACAACAACAATAATAATAATAATAATAATAATAATAATAATAATAATAATAATAATAATAATATTTATAATGATTAATATGTAATAATAACAAAATAGCAGCAACAACAATGACGATTAAACAACAACAACAATCACCTTAATATTAACAACTTAACCATCAAACCAACTGACCCAATCATCTACTCAGATCACTGTCCATCTGGTAGAGCAGAGTTTGCTGGCAGGATGGGAGCATTTGTTGAGGGCTTCGTAGTGCCTCCCATACCCGCTGTCAATGTTCTCGTCAAGTTTATACAAGATGGAAGGGAGCTCGTTGCAATGACTGATGCACAAGGAAAATATAGGTTTTTACTTTATACATTTTGTTGAAATTGTTTGTGCTTTGGATGGTTTTTTGTTTATTCTTAGAAATGCATTTATTGTGCAATCATCAAATCATTTGCTGAATGATTATCATAATGATCTGTGTACACAGGATTGGTCCAGTGGATGCTGACCTGACGTACACAACAGCCGTCTCCAAGAATGGCTACACGTTTAGTGATTCCTCCGTGACACCTGGTGTCTTCCATGCATACAAGTTGGCTGAAGTCGTCGTGAAGGTTTGTTAAGCGCGGCTTCAATTTTGTTTTTCATTCTTTATCATCTTCTCAACTAATTCTCTTTAATTAATTATTAATGTTTTATTTTCCTTGGGATGTTTCCGAATAGCTGAATAGCTTGCGGCATATAATTGAGAGCAACAATGCTACGTAAGATAAGTCATCGTTGAACAACATAATTTCAGGTGCATGACGCGACAACAGGAGAACATCTGCCTGGAGTTTTGTTGTCACTAAGTGGTAGTGAATCGTTCAGAAGGAATAACGTTACCAGCATCGGCGAAGACGAGCTGGCCTTCTCAAATCTTGTTAGTTTTTTCACATGGTTGTCAGCATTTTCATTCTATTTTTCCAATCTTTGTTTTAGGTTTATTAGATTTGCATTTTCAAACTTCAATAAAGCAGACCAACTTTTGAGTTTATATTTCAGTTCTTCCTACTTTGACCAACCTTTGCACTGGATGCCATTTTTTTGTTTATTTCTCTTGATTGACAGATGTTTTTAGTTTTTTTTTTCGGTTTTCTATTTACCATTTATATCAAAACTTGATTTGCTTTTTATAATTTTTGGGCAGTTATCTTTAACACAAATTTTTAAAATTTCTGATTTTTCATGAATGCTATTTAAATAATAGTTTATTAATTGCTCTTTAACTGAAAACTGTTTAGAATGTTTCCCAACTAATAATTCATCGTCACTCTTCTTATGCTATCATGTTGTTCTTTTAATTAACGTCAAAATCAAATGATGAAACCAGGGACCAGGTGATTATTTCTTGAAGCCAATGATGAAGGAGTATGAGTTTGAACCATCGTCGTACTCAGTCAGGGTCAAAGAAGGTGCAACTGTCAACATTCAGATCACAGCTCGCAGAGTTGCTTACAGGTTTGCTTATCTTCAAACTTGTTTTTCTCTTCTTAAATTTCACTGCCAATTCTTATTTTTATTTATAGTTTATGTAAAGTTTTATTTTATTTGCGAAAGCTTTTTTTATAATTTTCCCAGTATTGTTAAAGGTCAATCCTATTTAAAACATAGATGATTAATAATTATGTTTATATTTTAATTATTATTAGTTATATTATGTTATGTTTACAATTATTATTAATCGCTGTTACGTTGGTTGGTACTCTGGCTGTTTTTTCTGTCGGTAAATAATGTTCAAGTAATCATAAAAATTTAGTTAGCAAATGAAAAATCATTGGTCAGTTGTTTTGTCCATGTAACGTCATTGAATGGCGAACCGGAAGTGGGTGTGTTCCTAGAAGCCGTCAGTGAGGCCGCTAGTAAGAGTGAAGATGTTGGAAGTCAATGTCAAGGTCACCAGGAAGAAGGGAGGACTGGATCTGATGGATCTGTCAGGATTAGAGGATTGAAGGTTGGTCATCTAAAGGTCTCATTATCTTGCCTTCTTATACGATAGCCACACAATTTTTAAATATAATATTACAATTTTACGAATTTACATTTTTTAAAGCTACACTTTTTTGATAAATCAACTTATTTTATATTGGGGAACAGAAGAAAGACATTTTTAAAACTCAAGCTGGTTCATAACGTTGTACACAAAAAATGTTTTTCAATTTCATTTGCTTCAATTAAAATAATGCAAATAATATTTTATGTGACAGGTAGCCGAACAAAGTCTTTTTAAATTTTAATAATTTATGAGTAAGCTTTTTCTTGTTTCGTACATTTTTGCACTTGCTTTTGTTTTACAATTAATGCTATTTTAAGGCGAACTACGTATGTTGAAAAAAATTTATTTTGAATATTTAGCCTCTAAACTAGAATGCATGGTGATGACTTATTTTAAAACACAATCCAGCCGGGATGTACTTACGCGTTAAGACTAAGGAGCCATGGAATGGATGACGTGGACGATCCCAACTACATTTACGAAAGGATATCTCCTAGACACATTACTTTGCAAGTATGTGTTTTTCGCTCTTTAGCAATCCTTATTTTTATGGTTTCAAACTTGTCGGTTATTATCAGCATTCAATATGCACTTTCGTAGTCTACAAATTTTGAATGAGTTCGTTCTAATGAAAAAATGAACAAAGTCGATTGTAGTATTTTCCGCAATTATTAACTGTTATAAACTGTTTATTTGATGGCGTGAGTTGTGCGATCTGATTATGAAAATTTGTAATTAATGAAATTTTAGTTGTACACTTATCAAAATTTCTTGATAAGATAAAATGTTAATCCATCTTATTTACAACTTAATTACTTTAACGCTATTCACACATTGACCCCAATTGTAAATGTGTTTATATTAATTATTTGTATTGGGTATATATATATATATATATATATATATATATATATATATATATATTGGGTTTAGGTTATCATAAATACAATTTTTATAAAAATCTAAGTTTTGATTTGTTTAAGGTACCAAGAAGTTGGGTGATTTGTTCTTGAAGTTTTGATTTGTTTAAGGTACCAAGAAGTTGGGTGATTTGTTCTTGGTACCTTAAACAAATCAAAACATAGATTTACCATTGAAAGTGAAAAGGAACAGCGTTTACCTTTCCTCGATGTGTTGGTCACCCGTGGCGAAGAACGATTCAAAACCGCGGTCTATGTCAAAGAAACAAATACAGGAATTTGTTTGAATGGACAAAGTGAATGCACTGAACAATTTAAAGACAGCACAATAAAATCATTTGTGAACCGAGCATTCACACACTCTTCCGATATTGAAAATCGCGACGCTGAATTAAAGAGAGTCACTAACCTGCTTGTAAACAATGGATATAAGACTTACTCTATTGAAAAGATTGCTAAAAACAAATTACTACACAGCAATAACCTTCCTAGTACCAACAATCAAGATAACGACATCTTGTATTACAGAAATCACATGTCAACAGCATACAAGGTAAATGAAGCTATTCTTAAGCATATCATCAATAAAAATGTCACACCAACCAACCCAAATATTAAAGTTAAACTCCGAATTTATTACAACAATAAAAAGACGTCTCACCTAATACTGAAAAACAACTGCAGTCCTAGAGATAACTCTGAGTTAAAGCGTAATCACGTAATATATGAATTTAATTGCCCCTTTGACGGCTGTGCACGTCAACATGACTCATATATCGGGATTACTACTACCTCACTGACTAAAAGGCTTACGATGCATAAACAGAGTGATAGCACATCAAATCTCATTTGGATTCAACACACTCAATCACAATTAGCCGTGAAATCCTCAACAGCCACACCAAAGTAATATACCAGAACAGCAACTACACGCATCTTAAAATTGCAGAAGCAGTCCTAATCGACATCAATAAACCAAAAATAAGTATACAACAAAAAATGACAACCTCACTTCCAACCCGGCGCTTAACCAACAACGAAAACAAAGAAGTAATAAAAAACTAGCATCGTAAATAGTGACAAAGAAGAATATGATGCTATCGATGAAGAAAAGGAGACCAAAGAAGATGACCAGCCAATTAAGAAACCTGACACCTAATTCGCATCAAAGTTCAATTTTACAACACCAAAGTTAATTTTTACAACGTCAAAGTTAATCTTGACAAAGTCAATATTTCTCTATATTTACAAAAAGGAGCACTGACGATGATTCATTCGGAATCGAAATATGGCCTTATTTGCAGCATGAATTCTAAAAATAAGTTTATTTTGAATTTTAATAAACTAAACGTTCACCAAAAAACTTTAGTGAGAAAAATCGAAAAAACGAACTACAAACATATTAACGCCAAACATTCGGTAGAATTTATAGAATATTGTAAAAATTGTAGTCTATTACCAACATATATATATATATATATATATATATATATATATATATATATATATATATATAGGGATTTCAAAAATTTAACACTACTTTCAACATTGTTCAACTTTTTTATATTTCTTTTTAATTTATTAATGTCAGAAAAATTAGACATTTTATTGTTTTAAAAATTTTATTAAATAAATTTGCAGATAGCTATTTCGAGTTATAGATAACTCATCTTCAGTGCATTATATATAATGTATGTAACATATTTGATAAGATAAGAAAGAACAAATAATTAATATTTTTAATTAATAATTTATATAAATTATGTAAAACAGAAAACGAATAAAATAAATTTATTAACATTAAACAATATAAAACGCAATTTTCAAAATTTTCACGGCAAGATTGTTTATATCATGGCTGTTAAGGTATTGATTTAGAAACGGTGAAATTTGTTGATTAGGTGGACAAAGAAGACTTGCACAATCTCAGATTTATTGCCTTCAGGAAGGTTAACACCATGGACCTTAGTGGCAGGATCGTAACTAATCAAGAGTATATTTCATCCATTAAAGTTCGTCTCTATTACTGCATTATAATTGTTAATTGATGACTTCATCAAGTCGTTCCATATCTTGAATGTTTTAAAATTGTTAATGAAATAATGTATAGCACCCATGCCATTTGCCAGTTCACAATTTATTTTGAAAAAGTTCATTCGTTACATTAAATATTTCTGTTCGTCATAGCATCTGTTCATCATAACGTCTGTTCATCATCTGTTCATCATAACGTCGGTTCGTCATAACGTCGGTTTTTCATAACGTATGATTATTACAACACCTGTACCAGGTGCACCTCTTTGAAAACTCCAATCCTGACAACCACATCCACTCAACTTCTCTTGACGTTTCACCTTTTTTCACATTTTCATCCATTCCGCTGGACAATAAGGTATGCTATGGATTTTATTTTAATCTTTATACAACAAATCAATTAATTGTTTGACTTTTTGTCAAGTCTCTTTTGACATTCAAGAGCCTACACCTACAATTTAATTACTGAAAACATTTAATGAATTGGAGTATATACGAATTATATTAAGCTGCGTGCTCTACAAATGAATTCCCTGCATTAATTAATCAAGTACTGAAACCAACAGTTACAAACTAGATCGGTTAATATTACATTGCGTATAGTAAAAGACACACCTTTAGAAAATGAAAATGGTTAAAGAACGCGTTTGGCAGCATCTATTGTTTTCAGTAACGTCCTACCTCGGGAAACCGGGTCTCTGGACGTAAAACGAAGATTGATTGATTGATTGATATTATTTTTAGTATGAGTCAAGAGTCAGCCGGAGTCAGATAAAAAATATCGGGCTTCCCCACTAGTCTCTAAAAATTCCGACGAGAATATCTCACCCTGTCAGTGAGCTGTTGAGCGCATTAAGGTGGAAACGTTTTTAAACGTTCATTCAATGTACAATGCATGTGCAACGCACATTCTTATAAAGATAAACGACGCGTTCCAATGATTTCTTGTTATTTTCTTTATGACAATTTTATTAATGAATAAAATGATGTAATGGAGCAATTTTTGATTTTTATGTTTGACTTAATTTTTTCCTAATGTAATTTTTTCCCAATAGATGTTATTGCATTATTCGTTTGGCTTAAAACAGCCAAGTCGGTTTATGGGATCAGCCGTTTTATTGGACCACTGGCCAAACTCCGATGTCCAATAAACCGGCTTCCGCTGTATTATGATCGTGTCACTTACTTTATTCATAATTTGACGATTATCTATCTTTAATATTATAAATACTTTTTGTTAAGGACTACACAATAAAACTGAGCAGTGGCTTGTCAAGAAGCATGTACACTTACGCGTTGCCAGAAGTCCATTTCAAGACCAATCAATCATACAAACATTTTGTCATTCATTTTCATGTACAGGTAAATAAATATATTTTTAAAATAAATATATATATATATATATATATGTGTGTGTGTGTGTGTGTGTGTGTGTGTGTGTGTGTGTGTGTGTGTGTGTGTGTGTGTGTGTGTGTGTGTGTATTGGAAGGAGACCATATTTTATACACTATTGTATGAATTCTACCGAGTTGTTGGCATTTACCATATTTTATATAATATTGTATGAATTCAATCAAATTAATACATTAATGCCAACAATTCCGTAGAATTTATACTTTATATATATATATATATATATATATATATATATATATATATATATATATATATATACAATATTCTATAAATTCTACCCGAATGTGTGGCGAAAATATGTGTGTAGATCGTTTTTTCAATTTGTGCTCACTAAAGTTCTTTGGTGAACGTTTAGTTTATTAAAATTCAAAATAGACTTATTTTCCGAATAAATGCTGCAAATATAAGGTCATATTTCAATTCCGAATGAATCATCAGTGCTTTCTATTTTATATTTTAAAATACAATACTCTATTTTTATAGAAATATCTGTAACTACAATGTAATGTTTCCACTGTTATTAAACAATACTCTATTTTATATTTTAAAATACAATACTCTATTTTTATAGAAATATCTGTAACTACAATGTAATGTTTCCACTGTTATTAAACAATACTCTATTTTATATTTTAAAATACAATACTCTATTTTTATAGAAATATCTGTAACTACAATGTAATGTTTCTACTGTTATTAAACAATACTCTATTTTATATTTTAAAATACAATACTCTATTTTTATAGAAATATCTGTAACTACAATGTAATGTTTCCATTGTTATTAAATAATAATTTACTAATATATAAGTTAATAAATAATGATAATTATTTACTAATATTTAAGTAAATAAATAGTGACATCACGTATTAACCAGCCGAAGCAGACAGAACAAGAACTGAAGCATAGTTCCCTCCTTGTCTTGCCAGTTGTGCTCATCTTGCTCTACCTTTGTTTCAACTATAAACAAGTTTGATATTTTATTGTGTTGAAGTTTTTGTTGCATTTGATTATTAGAGTTGTTTTTTTAGTGGTGTCTGTTTGTTATAGAAATGAACCAGAGTGGTAGCTTGTTGTTTAGAAGTTGACGTCATTCTCCATTAAAAACTAACTAGCTGCATAATCCTTCCTTTTTTCTTTTTAAAAAATTTTACACATCGTATCTGTAACGTTAGTGTCCTGGTTATGACATTAAACTGACCCTCACTGCCTTGTGAGTGATGTTGGATCATCAAAGGCCAGGCCCACCGCTTATAACTGTGGTTGCGTAAGGAAGGGCGTCCTGCGTAAAAATTAGCCAAATAAATTACTTATGATGGAATGGCGTCGAGGGGTATTTCGGTTTCATCATAGGTAGCCAAACGGCAACCCCCGATCTCGGGGAAAATGTCGTCTACGTGTGTTGTTGTTAACGTCTGTAACGTTACGTAATAGGCATAGTTATATCTTTAGAAATTTTGTTTAGAATGAATGCAATAAATGCAAAGTTTCTTCAAATTAATTTTGGTTTAAAAGCTTGTTATAATTAGATGCTTGCCTGCATAAAATATCGAAATTTAATGTGCTGTCCTTTCTAGTGACTATAAATTTCTTTTCATTCTATCAATCTGATGTGCTTTTTGGCGTTTCAATCAATCAATCAATCTTCGTTTTGCGTCCAGAGACCCGGTTTCCCGAGGTAGGACGTTTGAAAATGCCGTTTGTTCCTGCCTCTAAGAATAATTATTAAAATGCTTTCAATGTAAATGTTTTTTTACTTATTTTAAAAGCCGTTTTAAGCATCATCAGTACCAAGTTCTAGCTTACTAGTTTATTTGAAATTCAGGTGCTTTTCAAAGTAAGTGCAAACAAATTTTTATTTTGTTTAGATGTTCCCTGTATTCACACACTTTTTATCTGGACTTGTGGACAGTGGAAAATCATTTGTGAAGAAGTCCTCAAACAAAACATCGCCTGCAACACAGCAGCAGCAGCAACAACAACAACAGCTGTTGGAAAGCTTAGGTATCAGTGAAACCTGTTTGTTCGGAGAAAGCGCTTTAAAAAAAAGATTAAAAGCAAAAAAGATTTGAATTATAAATTCATTTTATGTTGTAAAATTTTGTAATGTAGTGATTAAATTAAATGTTTACATATATGTTTTTTAATTTATTGTGTTGCAAGCATTTAGGAAAATATAGAGACGCTTCAAATGAGGTAAGATCGGTCAAGCACGGCATTATTGTTAGTGGCAAAGAGATTCTTTTATATTATTGTAACACTTGACTCTCGTAACTAACAACACCAATCTTATAACTTCAATAACCTCTATATTTCCAACACCAGTGTTGTAGCTTCCAATGATCGTCAAGTGTTCGTTATTCCGTAGGTTCACGATTTACGATAGATGAACACAACTGCTTCAAACGCAAACTTTATTGAACGTTTATTTAACTACACAGTAATAGACACTCTAAACTAATCCAAGTAACTAAATAAATCGCATTTCGACCTTGCCTTCTCTGATTGAAAACTGATTGCTTTCTGCATCTACGCGGGGCCTATAATATAGGCTGATTTTTATGATCAAAAGGTTATAAATATCTTTTTTATGCTATCCTCTCTCCAACGATTACAAATATAGCAAAACACCAATAATTACGTTAACAAATAATATAGCGCAATTTGATCATTCCAGCGGTTGCAACAATATTTTAGTCCGCGCACCATTATTCTTTAGTGAAGTTGTTTTCTTTAGTAAATGTGGAAGCTTTACTGATAAATGAATTTTGCTTGTTTTGTGAGATATAAATCTTATTTGCGCCATTTAAATTATTGAGACTGTGTTGAGAGGATTACTAAAAAATTGTAAATGTATAACAAAAATATAATTGCTCAAAGCAATTGTTTCTTTGTAAATTTTAGGAATTGGATGGATCCAAAAATTCTAAATTTGTGGTATCCGGATTCGAATCTAATGTAATGGATATGTACGAATCCGAATCAAGTCTTCACGCGTGCTCGCAATTGACTGTTATTCAAACCATGTTCCTTTCTAACGTACAACGCCGAGAACAATTGCCAATTTGGTGCTACAAACCTCAACATAATTTTATAACAAATGCAAAATGAAATGCATAATATATTGAATAACAATAATAAAATAGATGTCATGTGCATCGCCAGTCATTCAAAGCAATGAACAAAGGAATTACAAACAATTCCAATGGTATGTTTCAAAAACTTAAACTAACAGCATCACAATAAAAAATGGCAAATTGAATGGCAGAAAATAACTTTTCAAATTGATCACGTTAGCTACCATTGAGTAAAAAAGTAGAAATTATATTAATGACTCAATCTGCAGACTTATTAATACGCCTATTCCCCGATTTACTCGGTAGATAAGTTCCTGAGAAAAACGTGTAAATCGAAAATTAAAAATTTTCAAGTCAAAACTGTAAATCAAAAAGCTTGCAGAAAATACATAATTTTGCTATTTAACAGTTGTGATTTTTTTCAATATTTTTAGTTGTACACAGAAATAAAAATAAAATGCATTGACAGGTTAAAATATGTAATATATTACGGAAACACTTTTTTTTATTTAATTACAATACATTAAACGGAAGAACAAAAAATTAAACCAAAAGTGTTTTATTATATTATCATTCATCACTGTCAAAATTACTCTCATTCAATCACTGAAATGAAATGCTAGACAGCATTTCAATGCGCATACTTAAATGCCTGGCACCTTTCAAATATAACATGCCTGCACGGCACATTTGCTGGCATCTACCAACGTTATTAAAGATGATTGCGTATCGATGAACACGTGAATCCTTTGAAAAACTCCAACCTGAAAAATCATTTTTAACTATAAAATACACTTTTTTCAAACAATTAATTCTTTTTGGAGTCAGATCAAAAAATATCCCACTTAGATATCTCAAAAAATCGGATTCCTAATCCGGCAAAAACTTCCAACCGACTCCCTCTTTGACACCATGACTGCAACGAATTCTTCGACACGGATTCAATTAGTTAATTAATTTAAAAATATTTTACGCCAGTAACGTCTCGAAATGCTTTCCACGGCATTACGACATGAGTGGTCGTTGCGAGCGATGAATTTGGAGGCTCTGCCCTGTCAGCCGGCTTTCAAAAGAAAGGTCAATGAAGTTGGAACCCGGTGACTTTCAGCTGTTCACCTGCTGTTTTCATTCCACTGTGTGTTGCTGTCATGTATTCAGACAGTTTTCAGAGGTAGTTAAGAACCTAAGAGTGTTTAAGTTAGCAACAATCGGCAGATGTGAGTTGGACCCATGCTTGCATGTGAAGAAGGAAGGTGGTGTTTTGGCAGGGCCACGTCTGTTTTTTAAAAGTCAATAATTCTATGAAAAATAATAATAATAGAACCGATAATAATAAAAAATAAGTGATAAAAAATAATGAATGAATAAATAAATGAATGAATGAATGAACGAACAAACGAACGAATGAATGACTGACTGACTGCCTGAATTAATGAAAGCATAACTATGATGAATAAAGACCAGCATAACGTTTTCATCATCGCTCTAAACTAAATAATAACGTTTTGAGCATCTTTGAGAAAAAAGTTTTGTTTATAATAATAATTTATGATAATAATAATAATATTTCATGATGATAATAATAATAATAGATGATAGTACAGACAACCTGTCATTATTTGACGAAAGACGAACAAACGATCTCACAACGGAGATGATCTTCATATCATGTGCATACATATAAATTTATATTAAATTGTTTTGCATATGCACTATACACACAAACATATTTGTTGTGTGTATGTATGTATGTATGTATATATATTTGCTTGTGTGTGTGTGTGTGTATGTATATGTGTATGTTGTGTGTATGTATGTATGTATATGTGCTTGTTGTGTTTATGTATGTATATGTGCTTTTTATGTGTATGTATGTGCATATGTGCTTGTAGTGTGTATGTGTGTATCTATGTATATGTGTTTGCTGTGTGTATGTATGTATATATGTTTGTTGTGTGTTTGTGTGTATATGCGTGTATATATATATATATATATATATATATATATATATATATATATATATATATGTTGGTAATAGACCATAATTTTAACCATAATTTAAATATATATATATATATATATATATATATATATATATGTATGTATATATATATATATATATATAATATGTTGGTTATGATTTGCAGACATTTCCATATAATAGCTAAATTTATTGTTTTTTAGTTAGAGTACGTTGTCAGTATATGGTGGCCCTGCTGAATGAAGTTCCTGAATGACATTGAAAGAGTACAAAAAAGGCAACCAAATTGGTCAGGAGCTGTTTTCCTTATTAAAATATGAAGATAGGCTAAAGTATTTGAAACTTCCAACACTGATGTACTGAGGAAATCGTGATGATATGATTTGGTCTGCAGGTTTCTGAAACGAGGTTCCAATCGCAGTCTTCCAAACCTGTTAAGATACGAGGACTCAAGAACCAGAGGCAATATGTTCAAGTTCAACAAAAATCTTCGAAAATAATATTTTTCATGTCGAGTTGTAGGTCTGGGGAATGCATCGCCGAATAATGAGGTGAATGCAAGCGACGTTAATGATTCTCAGACAGTTTGGTTAGGCATGATGCTTCACTTGAGTACTCCTTTGATTGGAAAAGTATTTTGTGAGTGGCCAATATATCATTTAATTTCTCTTTTTTATTTATATACTATACACATAAATACTTATTTCAACATAGTTATAAATAAATATATAGTTACAAGTTGATTACATTGGATTAATTATAATTGTGGTTAATATGGTTATAACTTTTATTTCGCTGATGCAATTTTATTTATTTGCTTATTTAATTTATCTATTTTTTCTTTTCAACATATGAACTTCCGATTTTTTATTTTAGAAATGGGCAGAGGGATTTTTTGCGCTCATAATTCAATAAATAAATAAATATATATATACACACACCCATATATACATTTAATATATATATATATATATATATATACATGTACATACATACATATATAGTTAATATACTTATACAGGCAATTACTAATACATACTGAGGCATGTTGTTGGAAGATGATAAATGTTTAGGTGAGTTTACATCAAGGTCGGAGCTGTGGTTCATGTGTTTGCATGTGGGAGTTTGTACGTAGGTGATTGTATGCGTGTGTGAGTGAATGTTTTTACGTGTGTGTGTGGGTGTTTGTACGCGCGTGTTTGAGTGTTGTATGCATGTGTATGAGTGTATGTATGTGTGTGTTTGTGTGTTTGTAAGTGTTGTGGGGTGTTTGTAAGTGTGTGTGTCTTTAGGTGTACGTGTGAATTTACCTGCGTTTATTTGTCCCATTTGCTCTCTGGTTTTATTACCGTTTAAAACAATCATCTTCCTGATATCTCTGTAATTGATTTCATGTGTCGGGCATTTAATTATTTTTAAACAAATAATTATATGAAATTTTTCTCATTTTTTAAAAATCCAATTTGATGCACGACTTGAAATGATTTTTGACAATAAGATGTTTTTTTATAACTATTTTTTAATTTGTTTGTTTGTCTGATTGTTTGTTTATTCGTTTCGTTGATTGTTCGTTCGTTCATTCGTTTGTTTGTTTGTACTCGTTTTGCGGCGCGTTTTCAAGCGATCTGATGTATTGTAACGAATTTTGAAATGCTTGGAGCCTATAAATCGCATCGCCGTTCAACGTTGATTTATGATACCTTCTAATGTATGTGCCGCAAGAAACAGATGAATGATAGATCAACAAATTGATGTACTCTTGGTGTACTGAAATTCAATTGAAAGTTATTTTTAAAAGAACAAATTCTTTGCAAGGAGAATTTTTTACCGTTTTTTACATCATTACAAACTGCCATACATTGTTGAGAAAAAATTTCATGATAATAAAAAAATAAAATTACAAAACGCTCTGTCGAGTGTTAGTGAGGTCTGCTAGAGAGGCCTCTTCAGCATGTTTCAACGTGGAATCCTACTTCAGTGGGGCTGCATTGGAGGATGCTGTGTTCTATTGTGTTGAACTTCATTCATACTTTACAAAAATCTATTCAGCTCTTTGTTTGAACTCAATGTCAAATAAATCTAATGCAAGACAGATAATAAGTAAAATGTTTGCAAAAATTCGATTTCGATTATTTGTTTTATAAATTTGTAAATTTGTTAAATTTTGAAATATCAATGATCACATTTAAAAATTTTCGTCCATTTTGAAATTTTTTTTAACCATTTAATGAGAGACAAGAATTTGCATTGAATCGAAGAGCAGCTGATGTTTTCAAAGAAGATATTTATCTTCTTCTCATAAACATAACTACATGTGAGCACCAAAATAAAATGAATGACAAGAAATGAAACACTAAACTAACACAACAAAAATCATTTCAACTACAATACAAACAATAACAATATGACAACAACAACAGCAACAACAACCACAACAACAAGTGCAAAAACAAACACAACAGCAACAACAATAAAAATAGAAACAACACATTCACAAAACTTCTGAACAGAGGAGCGAAGTGGAGTAGACAATGGTAGCATATGAAATATGGTGCCACGTTCACAACATAAATAAATATCTCATAATTTATGAATGATAAATATATTTACATTAATAACCTGTTGCACTGTATATGAACACATACACACAAAC